AAACACTCAACACACACATAGATTCACACGTATTTCCTCACTGTAAAGTAACATTGCAAAAGATTTCTTCCTCTAATTGACTCAGCAAAGGACTGCCCTCTTCTCATCACCATATTAAGTACCATAAAACTCCTAGATTGGAGCTACTTCTGATATCTTAGACGAACACTCGTTTTTGTTTCATAAGTAAATTGTCTATTTTTCTTTCTTCTATGTGACCAGGAAGGGGGAATTAGACATAGTTCTGTGAAAATGCATTTACAATTTTTAAGGCTCCCCCCTGAACTTTATGAACAATTTTTCTGGCATTTAATTTTTCCTGTTAGTGACTGAAGCTTAAGAATTAGCAATTTCTTTAGCAATGAGGCTCTCCAAGCTGCTTCACATATATTTGAAGCAACACTCAGCTAGTTGGGACTAAGGTACATGATCCAAGGCAGAGGATATATAGCAGTAGAGAAAAGGGAAAAGAGTAGAAATGAAATGGAATTCCAATGGTACTAATATCTCTTGTGGAGTCAAGTTTATGATGTGTATATTTAGCCAAAATATTTATAAAATTATAATGGTTTTAAATGACAACTCCTTTGTACAACTAGTTAAATATAATTTTTTAAAATGTGAAAATTATATACACATATATATTTTAAGAAGAAACTTCCTAGAAAAAAAAGTGCTGCTCAAACATTCCAATCTCTCCCAAGAACATACGTTTTCCTACTTTTGCTTTTATACTGCTTGCTTCAAAGTCTGTTCAAAATGCTTAGCTTGAATTCCTTGCAAGTTGAAATTGGAAGTGTCCATCAGCACTAGTGTGGAAATGATAAACCCTAAGTACTTTGGACCACATGTGATTGGTGTAAGAAGGTAATTAACTTGGGGCCTGATGTTCATGTGAAATTTTGTTTTTTAAATTTCATTAAAAAAGGATTTTCCCAATATTTATGGAAATAATTTGGATACCTTAAGTATCTCCAGTAGTCTAAGGCTTTCTAAAACCTCAGGCTGGTGTCTGAAGGGGTGGGGGTGGGGGTAGGTAGGCTGTGTGTTCAGTATTGTAGCTGTGTCTTTATCATGTTCAGTTTGTTTGGGCCTGGAGGGCAATAGAGACTAATCTAGTCTGTGAATGACTTAAACCCTGGGACTTTCTTCTTTGTCCCCAGCCTCTTTCATCATATGTTCCATTTTTAAAAACCACAATCAGAACCCTTCCTCTATCAAGATTTACTCACATTTCTGAAATTTTGTTCTTTATCCTTATTGTAATAATTTATAATAAAATTCTACAATACCTGAAATGGGAAGGATATTCTATCTCTTAAGTCCATTGAGATAATAAATACATAGACAAGGAATATCAAATAGACAGTTTCTAGAGAGAATTGGTGTGACTGACTTCTGCTTATATTTCTATCATCCATAACTTTTAATTATAATTTTCTAGATATAAAATATGTCATGGAAATAAAGCATTTTTTTTTTGTAAAAACAAACAAAAACTACAGAGTTAAGCCAAGAAACTAGACTCTTTTGGTCTTTTTCAGTCCCAACTCTCCTCTGATTACCTGAAAACTTCACACCTTTCAAACCTAAAGTATACAGAACAACAAGTTTATTTGAGAAAAAAATATTGCTAATTTTTCTTCCAGAAAATTAAACAACATCCCTTGTCTAGAATCCTGATGATTTTATGTTCTGTTTCCCCCTTCTCCCACCCTCTCCTTCCCCAGAAGCAGAAGCAACTGAGTTTCAAACCTCTTATGGAGAGCTAGATTTTAGTGTTAAGTTTTATTTTGCTTCTACTTCTTTCTTAAGATATAGAAGACAGTTGGAGAGAAGATTAAAAAAATACAGTGCCTATTGAAGAAATACAAGTCTTCTTTCATAGGTCTGAAGTTTCTTCAATTTCTTAAGCAAGGGATGTATCTTTGTATAACTCATTTAATAGGTTTGATTTTTGTACTTTAATCCAGAAATACTTTAGGTAAACATCTTGGCATGTGTTTCCACTATCTTTCTAGCTGTTTCTGCATAAATTCCCTCAGGATGAAATAATTAAACATTTTAAAAATCATTGAATATTAAAGCTACTTTTTCATAATTTCTCATTTCATAGATTGATTATACAAAATGGTGAATACTAAATATATAAGAATGTATACATATATAGTATTGTTTACAAGATAATTTTGCATAGTCTCAGATAAGAAATTCCTGGTTCAAAAGATTCCACCTAGCACATATTCTAGTGACAAAATTCCTTTATAACAGAAATGACAGTTTAATCCAAATAGCACTTAAACTATATTAAGTTGTTAAGATTTTAAAAATTGATTTTGAAGAAAAAAATTGAGAAATTGAACTGACTTTCCAATGCTTGGAGAAGATTCGAGATGAGTCCACTTCTCTTGAAGCTACTAAAGACAGATAAAGTAGATGAACTTTGAAATCAGGCTTCTGGAGGAGGCCCATGGTTGAGCTCTATGTATATGAAGAATTGACTGGAGTGCTATAAGAAACAATTATCTTCACAGTGGAGGAAGGAGAACACATAGGTGATTTAAAAGTATAAATTGAAAATGAACTTTAGAACTATTGGCAGAGCACCCTTTTCCAGAATTGTAAAGGCCTAGATGTATTTCTGATTTCATATATATTTTTTTTTTTTGGGTCTGGTCGTGGGGCCTGAACTCTGGGCCTGGGCGCCATCCCTCAGCTCTTCAGCTCAAGGCTAGTGCTCTACCACTTGAGCCACAGCACCACTTCCAGCTTTTTTCTTTTTGCTTAGGTGGTGCTGAGGAATTGAACCCAGGGCCTCAGGCACGCAAGGCAAGTGCTCTATCACTGAGATACCTTCCCAGCCCCCTGATTTCATATTTTTTTAAGTTTTTGAAGACTTGTATATATACAACAGGATTTTTCTTAAGGAAAGGACCCAAGAAACAAGAAATCCTGCTATAATTTTATGCATTAAACGATTTCACGGTGAGGATGAATGCTTGTGGCTACCTGTTGATGCTTACCTTGTTTCAGATTTTGAAACATTTCAAATTTATGATGTTCAAAGTAGGGATGCTCCCCTTTTACCAGGTAGAGGACTTAAGCCAAATATCAACTGGGCTTAAATTAAAGTGTAGAGTTTCCAGGGCTATGGGAGGTTACTGAAGATAACCTCATGAAAGATAGCATTGTAGATGCTAACTCCTAAGTCCATCTCAGTTGTGGACCTGGGGCCTTCCCTGAGGAGTTACATTGAAGAAGAAACATTTTGTTCAACTACGTTTCCAGGTTGTAAGTGTCCATCCTTTTACTACGATTTCTGGTGAGAGAGGTCTTATCAATAGGCTTATCTTACCCTAAAAACCATGGTTTTGGAATATAAAGTAATTATATTAAATTTTGAGCTACATTTCAATTTTGGTGAATTTAGCCTATGTCTTCCTGAAATAGAAAGCCAAGCCTTGTTCTATTTTCCATCTTTCATTCCCTGCCACTCAGCCAATGGTATTGGTAGATTATAATGAAAGAAGTTATTTTTCTTTTAATATTACTTAACATGAAGATGTTTTGGGTTCTTATAAAGGAAGTCAATCGAGTTAAAACTACAAAAATCTTAATTAAGCACCTTTACCTCTTCTAAACCTTTACCTCTTCTAAACCTGGGGGAAACTTTCTTATCTTTAGTACATGAAATTAATAAAGGTCTTAATATTTAATTTATTTTGAATCTGCAGTTTATATTAGAATATTTTTGAGGAATGAGATTACATTGATAATTTTCTGGGAATACTGATTTCATTCTCCTGTGTTTCCCCTGGTAATAGGCTATTAATTTAGTTAAAAGGAATTTCCCAGTTTCCTCCTAAAACAGAGCAGTCCCTTCTAAAAACAGATGATTTGAATATGTCTTCTTGTAACTAAAATTTGCAACTACCAAGTGCTAAATATTTAATTCATCATTTAATTTCTTGCCTTTGGCTCAGACCATTTTAATTGTTCCACAAAATTTGCTAATCCTCAATGTGTCTAAGTGACAATACAATCTTGCTTATCAAACACTATTAAAAGGAAATCATTCAGACCTTTTTTAAATAATAAACCAAGATAGAATCAATTCTTTCAGTAAAGGATATGAAGTAACTTTTATTGATGTGAGAGTATGTTGCCATATGATTTTGATTACAGCAGTGTTCTAAGGAACATTTGTCTTTGCACCTTATTATGTCATGTAGAAGGAAAGAAATACAGGTATGAGCTGGGGAGAATATAGGCCCCTCCCTCAAAGTAGTGTTTGCCTAGCTAGGCAAACAATTGCTTGGCTTAAATTCTCAGTACTATACCCTTGCCATGCTGACACAAACACAAAATGAGGTACAAAGTTGTGAAAGATCACCATTCTATGAGAGGTTGCTTTCAATGTTTAGCAGTCTGGTAGAAAGTGGACTTTAAAGAAATGATAAGGAAAAATGAGAGGTTCTACTTAGAATTCATTTGCAGTCAATTGTCTTTTGCTAAGGTATTACTTGTATTGTACGCATCTGGAATCACAAAAGGAAAAAAGTTACTTTCAACTTTGCAGACTCAGGAAAGACTCGGGGAAAACAGACGAATGTTAACTCTTACAGAATTTGTACCACACGTAAGAGAATATAGTTTGATTGAAACACAGTAGTAGGTTGTTTATCTCCGAAAATTAAGCTCCTGGCATAAGAAGAACTGGGTACAATTTGCAATATTAATATTGGGTACTGTCAGGCTATGTAAGAGTGTATTCTGAGATTCTTTTCTTTTCTAGTGTGGATGGTACAGCTTGCAAAATTTTCCTGACACACAAAGCAAGAAGAGCGATATTTAAATGTAACATAACCACTGTGCCTCTTTACCCATCAATGTGAACTCACTCCACTGCCTTTCTTCTGGGCTCACTTGAATCAGACATTGGAAAAACCGACGTGTATATGAAGAAATAAGTATTTTTTTCACAGCCATTGCTCTTTGTAATGGCTGTGCTAAATTTCAAGCACCTAATTTTTGGAAGTTCCAGTGAGCTCTATGGAGGATCTCAGACACTGTTAGTCTTCCTTCTGATCCCATGTTGCTTGACACGAGATTTCAGGGCAGCTCCTATTATCCCAGACAAGCCTCTCATCTGGGCCTGGAATGTCCCAACTCAACCGTGTGCTACAAAGTTTAAGGAACCAATTGACATAAGCCTATTCTCTTTAATAGGGAACCCTATGAAATCTGCGACAGGGCAAGACGTAACACTATTCTATGTTGATAGACTTGGCTACTACCCTTACATTGATCATCACAACAAAGAAATATATGGGGGAATCCCCCAGCTAGGGTCTTTACAAGAACATCTGACCAAAGCTAGAGAAGACATTTTGCATTACATACCAACAGACAAATTAGGCCTAGCTGTCATTGACTGGGAAGAATGGAGACCCACCTGGGACAGAAACTGGAAACCTAAGGATATTTACAGAAACAAGTCTATTGAATTGGTTCAGCAACGCAATGTTGACCTCACTTTAAAAGAAGCCACCCAGATAGCCAAAGAGGAATTTGAAACGATGGGAAAGAGTTTCATGTTAGACACTTTAAAATTGGGAAAATCAGTTCGACCTCAACAATTATGGGGTTATTATCTCTTTCCAGACTGTTACAATCATAACTATAGAAGAGTTGATTACAATGGACATTGCCCTGAAATAGAAAAGAAAAGAAATGACGCCCTCCACTGGTTGTGGGAAGAAAGCACAGCCCTTTACCCATCCATTTATTTACATAGTGATTTAGGGTCCACTCACAAGGCTGCAGTATTTACTCGAAATCGTATACAGGAATCTATTAAGGTTTCTAGAGTGCGTGATGTTAAACGTCCACTCCCATTTTTTGTATATATTCGCCTAGTGTATACTGATAAAACTACGATATTCCTTAATGAGGTAAGTGAACCAAATTGTGACAGCTAACAAAAAAGTTTTTAGTAAAATTCAAAAAAAAAAACCCCAAACAACCCAGTAATATTGAATGCAATGAATTTTGGCTTTTAAACTCATTTAGGAATATGCACAATGTGTTGTTATGTGCAGGCAAAATAAGAATATTTTCCTTAATTGTGTACTTTCTTGTCAATAATGGAGAAATAGATAATACAATTTATTAACTCCATTCTTTGTTGTTGTTGTTGTTTTACTTCTATAGGCCTGCTGTCTTTTAAACAGACTTAGTTATAACAGTGAGAAAACAGGCACAGTGATTTACATCTGTAATCCTGGTTAGGCAGTTCAGATTGAGAGGATACTGTTCAGGGCTACCCAGGAATAAAAGTTCATATCAAACAATAAAAAACCTGGGCTGTGAAGGTGGCTTAGTGGTAGAGTGCTTGCCTTGCATGCATAAAGCCCTGGGTTTGATTCCTCAGAACCATATAAGCAGAAAAAGCCAGAAATGGTGCTGTGGCTCAAGTGGTAGAGCGCTAACCTTGAGCTGAAGAGCTGAGGGACAGCGCCCAGGCCCAGAGTTCAGGCCCCAGGACCAACTGGAAAAAAAAAAAGGGTGGGGGGAGGAAAGAGATGCTAGGGAAAAAACAAAGGAGGAGGTAACTGCTCAATAGGAAGTGTACTCATTACCTTACTCATGTAACTGTAACTCCTCTGTACAGTATTTTTACAATAAAAAACATACATTAAAAAAAACAATAAAAAACTGGGCACTGTCTAACATCAGTTAGAGGAGGGAGGCCTAAGCTAACTTTGCCTGTGCAAAAAACAAAGCTTGATTTGAGAAACAATGAAATGGCTCAAATGGCACAGTACCAGAGCATAAGGAGACATGAATTCAACCTTAGTACTGCCAAGAAAACCAACAACACAAAACAAAATACTTAGCTCTATTTTTTTTATAGCAAGGAAACAACTATGTGAAAGGTCATGGTTGTGGAAATCAGCAGGCTTAGTTTGCGTGTCATTGTGTTTTATAAAACACCCTCATTTTTACTTCTTCACTAATCATTCTTTCTATGAAATTTGTCAGGAGGACCTTATGCATACAGTTGGTGAAACCGTTGCTCTGGGTGCATCTGGAATTATAGTGTGGGGAACGCTAGCTTGGGCACAAACTGTGGTAAGTTGTTTTGGTAGGAAATAGATGAAAAGTACTTTAACCTTCAATGTTTATGGGGATTGTTTTGGTGTGTTCTGTAAGAAAATCACTATCATACTTGGCACACACCTAGTGGCTACTCAGTCAAAATGTGTTGAATCAAAATGTGTTGTATTTGTTTACTTAGGTGTGCAGGCAGAACACTGAATCAGAAATTCAATGAAATTCAATGAAATGTTCAAGGCTACATGGCTTATAAGTAGTAAAACCAGCGTGTGTGCATAAAACTGAACTGAATGTTTCTTTTTCTGAGGGACATGCGATGATACTAGTGATGAATGTGCTGTGAATCATGCTGAACAAAGCCCAGAGCTCAGGGTCCTGCTCTAGGATCTGTAGGAAATAGAGGTCTTATTGTAATACCAGTGAGAGAGATCTTTACAGAGTTTATCACTGTCCCTTGTTCTTCAGGTAGAATAGCAATATTCTTACTTCCTTGCAGGAACTTGGAAAAGTCACACTTGAGAAATTCAAAGTAATCTCAGCCATTCTACTTATTTTGCATAATTATATTGCCTTTTAGTTTGATCTCTAATGAAAATGAGATAACAGTTGAGCTCCAAATGGCTCAGACCTGTAATTCTAGCTGCAAGCCAGCCTGAGCAGGAAAAGTTGTGAGACTCTCATCTCCAGTTAACCACCAAAAAGCCATAAGTGGGTCTGTGGTTCAAGAGGTAGGGTGCTAGCCTTGAGCAAAACTTTTCTGGGACAGCTCCCAGGCCCCTAGTTCATGCCCAAGGTTAGGAGGGCAGAAAGGGGGAGGGAGAGGGAGAGAGTAGAGGATAGAAGAGAAAGGGGAGGTGAGAGAAGAGAGAAGAGAAATATAAACTAAGGAAAATTATGTGTCTCTTGGTAAAGTCTTTTGAATAGCAGAAAATTATCTTAAAATTATAATTTCCTGAAGTATATTCTGAATTTTACTAGTAGTTTTTCAAAATGCACTAATTGTATGCTGGAAGCATTCACATATACTCCCCCACACCACTTCCTTTATAGAAGTTAAAACAGGGAGCTCCAACCTTTCTCTGAAAAGGATCATGTAGCATATTATTTGTGTCACATTTGATTTCTAGAGTCATTGGAATCATAGATCTACATTCTTTTTAACATGCCTTTCAAATCTTCTTCAGTGTTGTCTACTGGCAATAGGCCTTTAATGTTAATATGATTGTGTTCTAATTCCTGGTACTTTCTTGATGTCTCTTACACAGACTGTTCTGTATATTTCCTTTCTAAACTATGATCATTTTGAATATTAGAATTATCATTACTTTCTCTAGTCACTAGATCATTTGTAATAAATAAACCTAAGGATCCCCTTGTATCTTGCAGGCATGGTATTTAATTTAATTGATGATTAAATATTCAGGAATTTTGTAAGCCAGTTATTCAGATATATGTCAGTTTTTATTTACAATGTACTTGAGGTATTAATTTGTATTGTGCTTGTGTAAATGGCAATACTGTCTAATGGCATTATCATTACTTGTGTCACACACCACATTAGCTAGTTAGGGAGCAGTATTTATACCATAGTATATACACAAATGCTATAAGAAGCTTATCTATTAGATTAGATGAGTCCATAGGCTTCATCTAATGTAAAGTAGTGATTCTTAAATCATTTTCATCCCTTTACTCCTCTTTGTTTTTTTTAAGTCTGTATCCCTACTTCTCTGAAAACCTGATAGTGATATTACCTGTATTTGAAATGAATGCTCATATATCCTGGGTACTAGAATATTGTGTTGAAGAATATTGACAGAGACTTTGCCTGCTTGAAGATTGAGTACTTTTAAGAATACACGAGCAAGAAAAAACAACTGGCATGATAAACATAACACAGAAATAATGTAGCGAATTTGAGTTCCCAGGGAAAGTATGTGAGAAAGGCACTAGTTAGGGAAAGCACCGTTTGAGTGATAATAGGGAGTCAAAAATATTTTTTAAGTTTTTTACTGTTGTTTGTATTATTGCATTGTATTATTATTCATTTAGAGGTGATATGCAGAGAGATTACCTTTACTTACATGAGGTATTAGTATATTCCCTTCCTTTTGCGCAGTATCATCTGTTCCCCCATTCTCTCCCATTCCCTCTTTCCCATCTCTGCCCACAAGTTGTGTGGTTCACTTTCGTCAATGTCCAGTGCAGCCAGTGGGCTCTGTTGCAGCACTTTTTAACCTCTTCTTCTGAGAAGTCTCTCCTTGGCTCCATTGTCCATTTAGTGATTGGTTAATTAGGTTTGGGAGGGGTTAGTTTCTTGAGCTCCCTGTTTATACCTGATATTAGGCCTTTGTCTGATGTATTGCTGGTAAAGATCTTTTCCCAATTGGTTGGCTGTCTTTCTAGTTCAGTAGCTATGTCTTGAGCTATGTCAAATCTCTCTCCTATCTGTTGTGCCCCTGGGATTCTATGGGATTCTATTGAGGAAGTTCCTGCTTATACCTCTTAAGTTCCAATATGTCTCCTGCTTTCTCTTGCAGTAATTACAGAGTTTGAGAGTTTCTGATGTTGAGGTTTTAATCCATTTTGAGTTGATGTGGTGGGGAATCAAGGGGAAGGGAAAAAACAAAATGTTTAAATAGGGATACAGATTGCAACAATGAGACGTACAAGACACTATGTCGAAAAATGAACTTTTCAATTTAGGCAGAAGGGGTTGGGGTGGGGGGTAGAAGGGTGAGGGTGGGGGGGTAGTTGAGGAGGTGGGAGGGACGGGATGGTACGGGAAAAACAAAGGAGGAGGGAACAATGCTGGATAAGAAATGTACTCATTACCTTGCTCATGTAACTGTAACCCCTCTGTACAGTATTCTCACAAAAAAAAAACTTATTAAAAAAGATTAGAGGAAAGAGCACTGCTAGCAGAGGGCACAGTAGTGCCGTTTAAAGTGAATCTGCCATTTGAGTGAGACATGCCAAACAACATGGTAAGGAAGGGAGTCTTACACAAGAAGAAGGAAGGGTTTGACCGTAACAGACTGTATACAAGTCAAGAGAAGAAGTGGAATTGTATTCTAATCTCCATGCAAAGCTGTTGGAAAGTTAAGGAGACAGATGGTGGATTTTTTTGTTGTTGTTATTGCTTCCATAAAGGTTCCAGCAAACTTAGTGGCTTAAACAATAGAAATGTACCACATTTTACCCGTAGGTTAGAAATGCAGATGTGTCTCGGTGGGCTGATATCGAGCAGGCTGAATTCCTAGAAGAGAATCTTCAGTCGCATATTTGAAATGTTGGCTGTTTTTCAGGTCCCTGTGGCTTTAACAGTGAGAGGTCCATTACCTGATTGGTTGCGGGCCAATAGCCACTTCCATCTTCTAAGGGTCTCTACATTCATTGGCTCTTTTCCCTCTTCTGCATTCCATTAGCAGTAGTGGTTTAAGTCTGTCTTGTACTGCAACTTCTCTCTTCCTTCCTCTCGTTTCGAACCCAGCTGAAAAAGTTTCTACATTTTCAAGGACTTGTATAATTGGGAAAATCTTCTGTTCTCAAGGTATATGTCTTCAATACTAAGTACAAAGTTCTTTGGTTATAGAAGCTAATATCATCACATATTTCTGGAGATTAAAGTAGCTATACCTTTGGGAGGCCATCACTATGACAACCCGAGATGTTCTCACCAAGGAAGGTGACAAGACATTGATTCTACTGGGAGCTTCTAAGATTCCTTGCCTTTGCCCATGCAGTAGCGGATGCTTGCCAATATAACACTACCACTTCCTTTGATTTGTTCAAGGGCTAGCATAGCCAGTTCACTAGGTAGAATTGTTGATCGTGAAAATAAAGTGACTCTGTCTCCAATGTTTTATTCAAAACTGGTCTGTAGTTTTGAAAATATGTCTCAAAATGATTCATCCTGGCTACTCCTCACTCATTCTCTACCAAATTGGGAAAAGAACATGTTGCCAAAATCAAGTTGGAGTCCTCTTGCTTGCTAAGATAGAAAGCATGTATTGTCAAGATCTTGGTGTCATATCATCACCTCCCACCCCTTAAAAAGTGATTGTCATGGGGACAGGCGTGGTCAATCCTAGCTTCTTCCTGACAGGCGGAGGTAGCAGGATCCTAGTCTGAGGCTGCCCTAGGAAAAAGCACAAGACCTTACATAACAGTAAAACAGAAACAGAGATGGTGGGGGGCGGGGGCATAGCTCAAGTATTTTGCCTAGAAAGCAGAGGCGTGTACTTCAATCCCAGCACTGAGTTTCTTTTTAAATTGCTTATTGTAGTAAAAGTCAGTGCGCGTGTAATAAATACCTTCGATATTCTGACCACCTTTATACTTTTACAGAAATCCTGCTTGACCTTACGCAGTTACATGGAGTCCACAGTGACTCCTTACTTTATCAATGTCACTCTAGCTTCCAAGATGTGTAGCCAAGCACTGTGCCAGGATCAAGGTGTGTGCACCAGGAAAGATTGGGATACCGACAACTACCTTCACTTAAACCCAGCGAGTTTCACCATTGAATCTCCGCAGCCTGGACAGTACATCGTGAACGGGAAGCCCACACTGAATGACCTGCAAGACTTTTCCAACAATTTTAAGTGCAGCTGTTTTCCAAACATGAGTTGTAAGGAGAGAGATGATCTAGAAAATATCGAAACTATTAGCGTGTGCGCAACCGAGGATGTCTGCATAGAGGCGCTGATGAAGACTCCGTCTTCCGCTGCTCATTCTCACTCCAAGTCACCTTCCGCCGTGTTTCCAAGGGGTCTGAGAGGACCCCTTTTATTTCTGGCTGTCTATATGCAATACACAAGTTAATATTATTTAAAATATCTGCCATCAATACTATAAAATTCATCTTGGTCCCAAAATATCTCTATTTTTTTATTGTGAAAATACCGTACAGAGGGGTTACAATTACAGGGGCAAGATGATGATGAGTACATTTCTTATCAAGCCCTGGTGTCTCCTCCTTTGTTTCCCCTTCCCATCCCTTCCCATCTTCCCCCCCCCCCCACCAAAGTTGTAAAGTTCATTTTTATACATTACACGTTGTACATCTCATTGTTGCAAATACCTCTATTATTAATCAAGAGTTTCAAAAGAAAACTTCATCTTCCATCCAAGACTACTGGCACATCTATCACACTTGGAGAACTAGTGTTTTTCTGAGATGAGAGAAGATTTCAAAAAAGTCAAGCTATTGAGACATGGTTTCATTCGTAATTTGTCATTTGTTTAATGTGAAAACCTTTGTCTTTTAAAATGTAATTTCTCAAGTTGACAAGACTTCCTTGTTTACAGATCTGTGGGGTTTTTCCTGCTAGTTAGTTATTCTATGTTTTCAAGAAAGATAAATTTAGAAAATGATTATTCTAGAGTTATACATGGTTTAATGTCTTCAGAATTCAAAAAGCACTCACTCCGATACTGTGTTCACTCATGATTTTCAAGGTTAGTCAGTCTATTGTCCCTCTAATGGCTGACTCTAAGCATTCATTCTGCTATCTCACCTTCATATTTCATTTATAGGGCACCACATCTCATCAAGAGATTTTCTGTATTCAGAGTCTTCCTTTCAGACTATTTAGCTGTCACAACAATTTGATAGGTTATTTTGGGAAAGGTCTTTCTAAATTACTGTATCTTGTAAGTAGTGGTTCCTGGTGAACTTAACAAACACTATAATCTTGTATGAATCCCCAACTCTGAGTTCAAAACTGGAATTTCCAGAGGCACCAGCTTGACACTTTACCTATGAGTACATGGAATTACCCGTTGCACTTGCAAAACTGCCAAACTGTTTCAACACAATCATTCTACGTAGGATATTTACATTTGGAAATGAAATTTAAACTTGACATAGAGTGGTTAGAATTTGAGAGTGAAAAAAAGTTAAGTAAAGTAAGCCAGGCCCAGAAAGACAAAGATTCCAAGTTTTCACTCATATGTGGAAGCTAGAATTAGTTTATAAATATCTGAGTAATTGATTAGGGTGGTATGCAAGCGTGAAAAGTCAATTCATGGTAGAACTCAGTGTAATTCCTTAGAAAGGCAAAAATCATAATCCAACAAAATAAACACGAGGAAACAGGTACTTGAAAGGGTAAGTGGGATCAAGGTAGGGTTGAGGTGGATGAATGAAGAGAAGGAAACAAACAGGCAGAATCTCAATGAATATCCTACAAAATTGATAAAAGGGAAGGTGGCAGGTTGGGGCAGAGAGGAGCTGGGGCTCAAACTAAGCTCATGAACAGTACTCAAGACTGGCAAAAGGGGGGGGAGGGGGGCAGTACACAGGGGAGGAATCCATACTTTTTCCAAAATGAAAAAAAAAATAAACTATGCTTAAAAAAAAAAAAAAGAATGTTGAAAGAGGTGATGGCATTGTTCAAGATACACTGTCTTCATAAACTTTATTTTTAAATGAGAAGTCCTTTGTATAGCTACTAAGGGCAATAAAAGATAATAAACCCCACTATATATGTACATAAACATTTTATATAAATTTGAAATGGAGCATCCTATCAGTAAAAAGCTACTTCTGCACAGAAAGTAAAGAAAGGAAGAAGAAAACAAAAGTAGGGAAAAGATAAGGAAAAAGAGCTTGAATGCCATCCCTGGTTATAGCGAGGACACTGATTAGCATAGGATTGAAAGCAACATCTCAGACAGCAACAATTAGCCTTCAGCTCCCTGTGAAATCCAAGCTGGGTACACTTGAATACCTATTCTGCCTTGCAAAACATTACTGCAACCTTCTTGCTCTCCCTTTGGCCCTGACTTCATTTTAGACACAAAAATAAATGAAGCTGCAAAGTCATGATACAGATAAAGACCCTAAGATCTTAGTAAACTCTTTGAGGCTTTAGAGTTCCCTTGAGATCTTGTTTAACTTGTTATTCACCTCATTTCTTTATTTGTGAGCTTTGTTTACTGTCTGAATTAAGAAAGTTGCAAAGGTAGTAAAAATTACTTGTGTACACTTAAGCTCTAATAATTTATAATTTTTATAACAATTTTGAGTAATTCTAAAATTCTTTTTTAATCCTCACTTATAAGGTCATTGTCATTCATGGCAAAGTAGCTCAAAACAGAAAACTAAGAGATTCCTTTCCTCTTTATACCAATGATAACTCCTGGTTACCATTTTGTGTGGACAGTTTTATAAATTCCTAGGAATATAGACACAAATGATTGGATGTGGGTATGTCACAATGTTAGTATTGACTATAAATTGCTCTTCAAACTTGGCAATGTGTTCTAGGTGTTTTGACCAGTACATGTTTGTAGTAGTGATCACATCAAATATGACAATTATTTTAAAAAGTGTTTTATAGACATTTCATTCCCTGATGAATTTTCTCTTTCTGTATAAACAACTTTTGCAATTAGTATTGTGGGGTGTGTGTGTGTGTGTGTGTGTGTGTGTGTATGTATGTCAGTACCTTGACACTCTTGCCAGGATGAAGTAGTATTGTGGATGGGAAGGGTATATCTATTATAATTCAGATATTGCTAAATTACCTCCCAAATATTTTGTTCCAGCAAATGCCCTTACAATAAATAAGGGGTGTTCCTGTCTTATCTAGATTTTGCTTAATTTTGCTGTCATTGTTATTCTAACACGAATATGCTATTTTATATTAACTTATCTCTTAATAATGTGAACTTTTCTCATAGCTTCCAATGGTTATTGTTATTGTCCTTTCAGGTCCATTGTTTTAAAATTAAATTTTGTTTTGTTTCTCATACCCACATTTAAACACTTCTGCCACATTTTAAATTAAGATTTAGCTTTTCACCTACCAATAGTAAATATTAGGAAGACCAAAAAGTAGCTTTTAAAGAACATCTTATTTAAAGAACATCTTATTTAATTTTAAAGAACATCTTATTTAAAGAACACATCTTATTTAATTTTAAAGAACATCTTATTTAAAGAACATCTTATTATCTTGTGTAAGCCTTACATGAACATTTGACTAGGAGCAATAGCTATGTGTATATTTATATGTTTTGTGTTTATATATGTATATACATACTCTCTCTCTCTCTCTCTATATATATGTATATATGTATATATATATATATCCACAGTCACTAGGAATTGCAATTCATATATCACCAAATTTATTTTCTTTCTTTCATAGAGCAGTTGAACCTTGGAGTTTTGGCAAATCAATTTATTTTCTTTTCCCATCCCCAACTCCTACCATTTCCCAGTTGAACTGTGGTTTGAACTAAAGGTCTTGTACTTGTTTTGCTTTTTTTGTTGCATGGTGCTCTATCACTTGAGTAATGCCTCCAGCTTGTTTTTTTCTGGTTATTATTATTATTATTACTTTGCTGGTCCTAGGGCTTGAACTCATGGCCTAGGCGCTGTCCTTGAGCCTCTTCATGCTCAAGGATAGTGCTCTACTACTTGAACCACAATGCCAGGTCCAGTTTTTTTCTGAGTAGTTTATTGGAGAAAAGAGTCTCATGGACTTTTCTATCTGGGCTGGCTTGGAACCATGATCCTTAGATCTCAGCCTCTTGAATAACAAGGATTACAGGAGTGAGTCACTGGTGTCTGTCTTTGCTGGCTATTTTGTAGATGGAGTCAAATGGACCTTTTGCCTTGGCTATATTCTAATTGCCATCTTCTGGATCTCAACCTCTGAGTAGCTAGTAATATAGGCATAAGCCGTAGACACCCACTGCAGATAACTCTAAAAAGAATGCTTAATGGAAATTCTAATTTCCATGTGCTGTTAGTTTCTCATAGGAATGCCAATCTTTGGCAGCAAGATGCACACAAAAGTTCATCCCAGCCGGTCAAATTGCTGCCTTTAGGCAAGTTATCCACCCTCTATGACTTTGTTTCCTTCCAAAATAGCACCAAGATCTGTGACTAAAATACTCACTACATCATCCCATGGAACTTTTCTGGCCAATTTCCTTTACAAGACTATTGTCACTCTGATAAAATACCTGAGACAAACAATTTAAAGGCAAAAATTTATTTCAGCTCATGGTAGTAACTATTCTGACACAATACTCATATGTGTGCAGGGTCTTTTTGTAGGGACAGCTTATCACAGACATGAAATACGTACACTAAGGTAATTTAGAAAAAACACTAAAAATCACAACTCTATATGTCTCTGTGTATGTGTGTGTACATGGATACATAAACACAAATCCACATATCCACATAACTGATTCCCAGCTCTCCTTCTGATATTCTTCCATGGATGCAAGGAAGTAGACAGGAGCTTTGATTCAACTCAAATTCTATCACCAGTCAATGTGAGCTCAAGAATTGGTAAAAGACTTACAAAGATCCCAATCAATAGGATTTAGCTGTAACTTTAAGGACTTGGTAGGTTATTCGCTTGAGAAGAAGAGAATGGACATGCCAGATAGAAACTATAAAGGGAGATAGCACAACCTTGGAAATGTATGGAGTGTAGATGCACACAAGAAACTGAGTGTTCAGTTAGAACTGCTAGAGATTGGAAAACAAAATCAAAATAAAATCAGCCAGTTGGTTCAAGAATCTGTATATAAGAAAAAGCCTGGATTTAGGTGTGCCAATGATAAATGAGCTGTTAAGAAGATGAGGAGGTTTGGGCATCTATTGCTGTGACTATTCTTGTAACTTTCCCCTCCTATGCAGAAGTTCTGTCATTCTCTCTTCTGAGCTGAAACACACACACACACACACACACACACACACACACACACACACACACACACACACAGACCAAAAACAGGAGAATGTGAGTGAGAGATTTCCAAACATGTCCATTGTACTTCTGTTTTTAAGTTTG